AATTTATTATTCATACATCATAGATGAAAATAGCATGACTTTTATTGGGAAATACGTGCACAGAATTGAAACAACCACTAACATGATGGTCATCAGGGATATAAGCCTACAATAGAAAGCAGAATCAATGGTCATGGATTCCTAATTTCTATTTTTTATCCTGTTTTCATCTTATCTTGCTCTAATTGTTGTCACACTTTTTTTCATCTAGTTCTCTGTCTTTAACTTCTTTTCCCCCTTTAACTTGAATGATTGTTTTTTAAAATTTAAGAAATTTATTTTTAATTGACAAATAATAATACATTATATATTTATGGGATATAATGTGAGATTTGATATATGTTTGCATTGTGGAATGATCAAATCAAGCTAATTAACAAATCCATCATCTCACATACTTATAATTTTGTGGTGAAAACATTTAAAAATTACTCTTTTGGCTGGATGCAGTTGCTCAAGCCTATAATCCCAACACTTTGGGAGGCTGAGGCGAAAGAATTGCCTGAGCCCAGGAGTTAGAGACCAGCCTGGGCAACTTGGTGAGACCTTATCTCTACAATAAATCAAAAACTTAACTGGGTGTGGTAGCGTGCCCCTGTAGTTCCAGCTACTTGGAAGGCGGAGGCTGAATGATTGCCTGAGCCTAGCAGGTCGGGGCTGCAGTGGCCATGAGCATGCCACTTCACTCCAGCCTGGGCAAGAGAGTGAGACTTCAACTTAAAACAAAACAAAACAAAACAATAAAAACTACTCTTTTAGTAATTTTGAAATATACAATGCACTATTATTTATTATAGTCATCACTTTGTGCAGTCAATCACTAAATCTTATTCCTTCTGTCTAACTGAAATTTTGTACCATTTTATCAACATCACTCCTTTCTCCATCTACCTCTCTCCCTAATCTCTAATAATCACCGTTTTACTATCTACTTCTTTTCAACTCTTAGATTCCACATGTAGGTGAGAGCATCAAGGTTTTTGTCATTCTATGCCTGGCTTATTTCACTTAGCATAGTGTCCATGCTGTCTTAAATGACAGAATTTCTTTCTTTTTAAAGGCTGAATAGTATTCTGTTGTGTATATTTCTTTATATTTATGCAGTGATGAACACCTAGATTGCTTCAATATCTTTACAATCATGAGTAATGCTGTCATAAATGAGAGTGTGAATATCTCTTCAGTACACTGGTTTTAGTTCCATTTGCTACATACTCAGAAGTGGGATAGCTGGATCATGTGGTAATTCTATTTTAGTTTTTTGAGGAATCTCTATACTATTTTCTGTAATTGCTGTATTAATTTACATTCACACCAACAGTGGACAAGAGTTTCCTTTTTTTGCATCGTCCCCAATACTTGTTATATTTCATCTTTTTGATAATAACCAGTTCAGTGTGAGGTGATATTTCACACCTGATAGATATGAGGTATAAGGTGATATTCCATTGTGTCTTAATTTGCATTTCTCTAATGATTAGTGATGATGAGCATTTTTTTTGTTTGTATCTATTAGCTATTTGTCTGTCTTCTTGAGCAGTATCTATTCAGATCCTTTGTCCATTTTTACTTTTTTTTTTTGTTTTCTTGCTATTGAGTTGAGTTCCTTATATATCTTGAATATTAACCCCTTATCAGATATGTGGTTTGCAAAGATTTTTACCCATTTCATGTTGTCTCTTAACTCTATTGTTCCCTTTGCTGTGCAGAAGCTTTTTAGTTTGATGCCATTCTATTTATTTATTTTTGCTTTTTTTTTTTTGAGTTGAAGTCTCACTCCGTCACCCAGGTTGGAGTGCAGTGGCACGCTCATGGCCACCCTGACATCGACCAGCAGGGCTCAAGTGATCCTTCCACCTCACCCTTCCAAGTAGCGGGAACTACAGGCACACACTACCATGCCCAGCTAATTTTTTTATTTATTGTAGAAACGAGGTTTCACCAAGTTGTCCAGGCTGGTCTCAAACTCGTGGGCTCAAGCAATCCTCTCACCTCGGTCTCCCATAGTGCTGGAATTACAGGCTTGACCATCGTGCCTAGCCTGTTTTTGCTTTTATTGCCAGAGCTTTTGGTGTCATATCCAAGACATCGTTGCCCAGGCCAATGTCATGGAGCTTTTCTCCTATGTTTTCTTCTAGCAGTTTTATAGTTGCAGGTCTTACATTTGTCATCTGCCATCAAAAACAATTTAACTTTTTTATTTCCAGTTTGGATGCCATTTATTTCTTTCTCTTGCCTAATTGTTCTGGTCGGGACTTCCAGTGATATATTGAACAGAAGTGGCAGGAGAGGGCATTCTTGTTTTGTTCCAGATCTTAGAGGAAAAGCTTTCAACTTTTCCCCATTAAGCATGGTGTTAGCGTTGGGTTTTTGTTTTGTTTTGTTTTGTTTTTGAGTTGGAGTCTCACTCTGTCACGCATACTGGAGTGCAGTGGCACACTCCTGGTCACCACAGCCTCGACCTGCTGGGCTCCAGTGATCCTTCCACCTCAGCCTTCCAAGTAGCTGGAACTACAGGCCCGTGCTACCACGCCTGGCTAGTTTTTGGTTTATTACAGAGACAAGGTCTTGCCAAGTTGTCTGGGTGGGTCTCGAACCCGCGGGCTCAGGCAATCCACTTGCCTCGGCTTCCCAAAGTGCTGGGATTACAGGCTGAGCCACCTAGCATGGCCAGCGGTAGATTTTTCATATATGGCCTTTATTGTGTTGAGGTACATTCTTCTCTGCCTAATTTCTTGGGAAATTTTATCATGAAAAGATGTTGAATTTTGTCAAATGCTTTTTCTGCATCTATTGAGATGATCATGTAGGTTTTCTCCTTCATTCTCTTAATATGGTGTATCACATTTATAGATTTGTATATGTTGAACCACTCGTTGATCCTAGGGACAAATCCTGTTTCACTATGGTGTATGGTCCTTTTAATATCCTATTGAATTTGGTTTGCTAGTATTTTGTTAAGAATGTTTGCATCTAAGATCATCAGGGATATTGGCCGGTAATATTCTTTTCTTGTAGTGTCCTTGTCTTGCTTTGGTATCAGGGTAATGCTAGTCTCACTAAATGAGTTTGGAAGTGTTCTCTCAGTTTTTTGACAGAATTTGGATTGATATTAGTTCTTTTTTAAATGTATCGTAGAATCCTGCCATGAAGCCATCTGTTTCTGGGCTTTTCTTTTATGAGAAATTTTAAAAATTATTATTGATTCAGTTCTCCTTAAGCAATTTCAGTCATTTCAGATTTTCTGTTTCTTCATGATTCAGTCTTGGTAGGTTGTATGTTTCTGGGAATGTATCCGTTTCTTCCAGGTTATCTAATTTGTAGATGTATACTTGTTTACAGTAGTTTTTTGTAATCTTTTTTTGTTTCTGTGGTATTGAACGTTTGTTTATAGATGTGACACTTGACCATTCCTAAGTTGCTGAGAAGTCTATGAATTTACTTTTTACTCAAATTATTTGAATGTAAGATGCTGTTTCTGCAAAGCATGTATTTCTGAGAGATGGTATACTTGAGGGCCTGTAGTTTCTTTTTAAATTGAGATATAATTCATACACCATTCAATTCACTCTTTTAAAGTGTACAATCCAGTGGTTTCTAGTATAGTCATAGAAGTTGCAATCATCATCACTATCCAATTTTGGAACACTTCATCATTCTAGGAAGAAATCCCATAGCCATCAGCAATCATTCCCTATTCCTGCCTCCCCTAGCCCCTGGCAACCATGCATCTACTTTCTATCTCTTTAGATTTGCCTATTTTAGCCATTTCATATGAATGGATTCATATCATATGTGGCCCTTTGTAACTGGATTCTTTCACTTAGTATAATATTTTCAAGGTATAATTTTTCAAAGTATATTTCCATGTTGTAACATAAACCAGTACTTCATTTATTTTTATAGTTGAATCTTATTTCATATTATGGATATATCACATTTTGTTTATCTGTTCATCAGTTAATGGACATTTGGGTTGTTTTACTTTTTACTTATTGTGAATAATTCTGCTATGACCATTTTTGTAAAAGTTTTTTTGTGGATATATGTTTTCGTTTATCTTAGACATATACCTAGGAGGGGAATTACAGGGTCATATGATAACTTTTGTTTAGTTTTTTGAGGAACTGCCAGACTGTTTTCCAAATGGCTGTTCTGTTTATTATTGCTCCAGCAAATGTGTGAGGGTTCCAATTTCTCCACATCATCACCAACACTTGTTATTGGCTTTCTTTTTTGTTGTGCTAGTGGGCATGGAGTGGAATCTCATTGTAGTTTTTATTTGGATTTACCTAATTACTTATGATGTTGAAAATAGGCCTCCATTTATTACCTGGAAATTTTCAGTGTGATCCTCAGACCCCATGCCCAGTTTTGGGAATGCAGCTATGAACAAGGCAACCCCAGTTGCTGCCTTCTTGAGTTTAGAGTTCATGTGAGAAGGTAGATAGGAACAAAGTAATTGAATTAGGGTTTTAATAAAGAGTTATACATGACATAGTCTTTTAGTAAATTTTTACATTTTCTGTTTCAGTGATTTTTTTTTTCCATTGTCATTGGTGACCAAAATTCGTGCAATGGTATTTGAAGATACTGTATGTCCTTTTTACATTTGCTTTTTAAAATAATCCAAAGGAAATGAAAGCATATTTAAAAAATATATATATAAAGAAAAAATGGAATATCCTCCCTGCCTCTGCACTCCATCTTTTAATAGCTTGGTTACTATTATTCCAGATCCACTTCTATCACACACAAATTTGTATCATGTAGAGGTTTGAATAAGGAGATTACTTTCCTAAAGATTTTTTTCACTTCTTTCTAAGACTAGTGTTTCAACTTCATTGGAGTAGAGAGTGATTTTGCTAATCTTACAATGATTTCAGAGGTGAGGGTTTACTAACTATTGGGTGCATCTTGTGTCCTAAGAACTTTCCTACCTTTTACAGGTTCACTTTGGCTGTAATGCATGATTTCCTGTGTTTCTCTTTTAATTGCAGATGGTCCCCATTCCTGCTGGAGTATTTATAATGGGCACTGATGATCCCCAGATAAAGCAGGATGGGGAAGCCCCTGCGAGGAGAGTAACTATTGATGCCTTTTACATGGATGCCTACGAAGTTAGTAATGCTGAATTTGAGAAGTTTGTGAACTCAACTGGCTATTTGACAGAGGTAATGGGATTGGAAAAAGGAGGGAGAACTTGTTCTTTTTCAGAACTTTTAAGACTGCTTTAATAGTAGCCAACATTGAGGGACAACTTTTACACTGTGCTAAGCACTTTATATATATTTCTTCTAATTTCTCACAGTAGCCCCATGAGGCAAGTTATTTTTCAGGGAATAAACTGAGGATTAGCAAAATGATTTGCTCCAGGTCACACAGCTAGGCAGTGGTGGATCTGGGATTCAAGCCTGGCCAGTGTGCCTCCAGAACCTGTGTTCTTAATCATTATGCTATATTGTGTTGCTATATTGTGTTTAATATGCCAGAAAGTGCCACTGTCCATTCAGGCTTTTTGAGATGACAGATGGCATGTAAAGTAAGCCTACTTTCCTTCTCCATAAATTGCAGTTTGGTTGTTCCAGAAGCATCACATATTTCTTAGGTAATAAATGCAGAAGTGCAGCTTTTCAATTTTGTGGCTTTGTTCCAGCTCCTTGACAATTCTCAAGCTGTGCTGTGGTAGTTCCAGGAATTATCCTGTGGTCACTGAATCACAAAGCAAGGTTCTGAAAATGGATGGTCCTCATGGGAATAGGAAGAGCAAGATTTTCTAGTTTATGAACATTTCTGAATGTCTCATACATACTTGTTTTGAACATTTCCAATTTTTTCCTCATCAAAAACTTACCCTTGTTTTCAGTTTGTGTGGAGTCCCTGTTTTTTTGTTTTTTTTTGAGTTGGAGTCTCACTCTGTCGCTCAGACTGGAGTGTAATGGCCGCTCCCGGCCACTGCAGCCTCCACCTGCTGGGCTCTGGTGATCCTTTCGCCTCAGCCTTCCAGGTAGCTGGAACTACAGTTGCACGCTACCACACCTGGCTAATTTTTTGATTTATTGTAGAGATGAGGTCTCGCCAAGTTGCCTAGGCAGGTCTCAAACCCTCGGGCTCAGGCAATCCGCTCACCTCGACCTCCCAAAGTGCTAGGATTACAGGCTGAGCCACTGAGCCCGGCCCCTGTTTTTTTTTTTTTAAAGACCCCCAACATCTTTTTCTTTTAATTAAAAAAAAAATATGAGAATGAGTGCTTAAAACAAAACAACATTCAAATTTGTCTTTGCATTGTCACCTTTCTTTGGCATTTCCTAAAATATACAAAGTGGTTATAAATATTTTTTGTACACATTTGTGGTAAGCAGCAATCCCTGTCCTTTTTGTTTCCTAAAGACAGTCTCAGATAAATTTTCTCAATAGTCTACTTAAGTTAGAAGACTTCTTTGTTTTTTTTGTTTGTTTGGTTTTGAGTTGGAGTCTCACTCTGTTGCCCAGACTGGAGTGCAGTAACCGTTCCCGGCCACCGCAGCCTCGACCTGCTGGGCTCCAGCGATCCTTCCGCCTCAGCCTTCCAAGTAACCGGAATTACAGGCATGCGCTACCACACCCGGCTGATTTTTTGATTTATTGTAGAGATGAGGTATCGCTGCCCAGGCGGGTCTCGAACCCGCGGACTCAGGCAATCCACTCACCTCAGCCTCCCAAAGGCGCGGGATTACAGGCTGAGCCACCGAGCCTAAGTTAGAAGACTTCTAAGGGATGAGAATTCTCCGTGAAGACTAGATCAAATAAGCAGAATTTAGGGCATCTAAGGACATGGATGTGAAAAAAATTACATCTGGATATTTACTACCTTTAGTCAGAATTTAGCGTTTCCTTCAGTTATGATGCAGACAACAAAACATAGTAGACGCAGTAGTACCTGTGACTTTGTCACCAATAGAAATCATAGACATTTTAAAATTACATTATTGGTGTTGCAGATATGTTGAACCATTCATTATTCGCATTCATCCTCACTTTGAAATATGGTAACTATGAGAACTGCCACTAGGTCTTATTTCATATATTAATAAAGACCATATATATTACTAGAACACAAATTTGTTTTTGTTTTTTTTTTACAAATTTATTTTATTAATATTTTGATATAACAAGTTTTCCTAGCAATGCTGTTTATTGATTTGATGCATTTAAACACTTCATTCTGAGAAAAAGGTTCTTAAGGTTCACCTACCACCAAAGAGATGTAAGGCACAAAAAGAATTAAAAACCCTCACTTTTGAACAAAGTGCTTCATATTTTTATAGTACTTTGTAGATTTCTGTCTCTCCAACTTCATTTTACATTTTGTTTCCATTCCTTGAAAACTCAACATTCTTTTCCACCTTGGGAGCTTGGCCCATATTTTTCTGCTGCTTGGAATTCACAGTCCCCTTCCCTGTCCCCCTTGTGCATGACTGGCTCTTTCTCATCCTTGAGTCATCTCAGTTTAAATGTCACTTTCTTAGGTACTTAGGCATGGTGGTGTCACAATGGGACACAGGAGGAAGATCAGGGATGAAGAAAAGATGATAAACTCCATCCAAGAAAAGGAGTTTGAGGTGCTGTTAAAGGCCTGAAACATAGGGATCCGGTACTCAGTTAATTTTACATAGTGAGAATAGTACAGCACTGGAGGTGTAGATTTGAGAGTCATTTGAAGTATGACTGTAGTTAATTCAGTGAAATTGAAGGAGATTGTCCAGTATTGGATCAGTGTATCTCACAATGTATCTCTTTAACTACCTGTATTAGAAACACTAGCTGTGCTATTTACACATGCAGATTCCTTGACCTCACCCAAGACCCCTAGAATCAACTTCTCGATGTTTGGGGAAGAGCAGTCTCTAGTTTTAACAAACTGATCATGTAATCTCAACCGCACAAAACCTGGGAATTACTGGTGTAACATAGTCACAGAGAGCCAACGGCAGAGCTCTGGGGAACAACAGTGTTTCAGGGCTAAAAGGAAGAGCTCGTGAATTTCTGGAGATGAGAAAGAAGAGTCAGAAATATAGGAAGAAAACTAGTGGAGTAGAGTTATGGATACCAAAGCACAAAGGACCCCATTTGCAGAGTAGGATCACAGGCAACAAAAAGAACCAGGTAGATGAGGACTTGAGACACCAAGATTAAATAACATCTTAAAATTCAGATTTTCATCTGGAGCTTTGAATTGACCACTTGACATTTATAAGCACATTTGACACCTTAGTGGAGCTAGAATATGTCAGAATATGAGTAAACAGTGCCATTTAATTCTTTTAGCTAGATTTCAGGGCCAGAACAAAGGGCAAACCTTGATTATATAATCTCACATGTACAAAATAATTTTATTTTCCAAAGTCATTTGTAATACTTGGGAAAATGGTTTCCTTAAGGAATAGTCATGTTTCAAAAGCTAATCTTGTTCAGACTGTATTCCTATCAGCTAAATAAATCTTAAATAAAAATGGTCTCCATAAGTGACATTAACCTGCTTTAAGAGGAAGCCAGACACTTTTAAGTCATTTCTGAGTCCTCTGGGAAGTCTTAAGAAAGACACAAGGTCATTTGGAAAAAAAGAATCACTTTAATAGTGTGCAAAGAAAATGGCACATTGAAACGTGTTACTACAGCCTTTTCTGGATTTTTATTTCCTACCCTTTTCATAGGCTGAGAAGTTTGGTGACTCCTTTGTCTTTGAAGGCATGTTGAGTGAGCAAGTGAAGACTGACATCCAACAGGCAGTAAGTAATGTTTAGATAGGCTCTCGTATTTCCCTACAGCTCATTGGAAAGGGTTTGAATGAAAAATCTCAGCTACAAGCGACACCCTTCTCTACCTCTCAACACCTAACCATTCTCCTGCTGTGGATTTGCCCAAAATAATAGGTTCATGGACCAGGACCTCATCTTAATGGAAGGAAAACAGCACAAGCCCAGGATGGTATCTGAGAAAGTACTGTGTCTGCCTTGAGCTTTTGTATTGTGAGCCTGAGTAACACATTGTGTTGCTAAGTAGAACTCAGCTGGGCTCTAGACACTTCTAGGTTTCTTTTACTTACAGCTGTTTCTAGAATGGAGGGTTAAATGTGAATGTTTTTAAATTCTGTTCTTAAAATCTTGATCTTAACAGGTGCTGGTATAGAGATAGATCTTCCTTAAACATTCATGAATTCACATGATCGGAGTGCTGTTCAGGAAGGCGGCCCTTTGCTCTGAATGTTCATTAGAAACGCAGGGAGGGAAATGGTCATTACATGCTTGGTATGCCCTGTCTTGTAGAGAGGATCCGGATATTGAAAATTAGGTGTGTTTTTCTCAGCATCGTGGAAATGCTGTACTATGCCTCCATAAGCACCATATGTGGTGAGTGCAACTTGGGATTCCTAGAACAGAAATTTTAGCATGTTTGTGTATTTGTATGCATTTATGCCTCTTGAAAATATAAGAACAAGAAAAGAAATGAGGTTAGGCTGGGAAGCTGAGGGCTCACAAAGCAGAACTCGGAGAATGCAGAAGAAGCAAGAGATAGTGAGAGAGGGAAGGAAGTGGGGATCAGCCGACTCAAGGGAAGCTGATTAGGATAGAGACATTGAAGAAAAATGAATCCAACCCTAATCTTCCTTTTTAATACATGTTCCTTTCAGTTCCTGCCTGAACTTCATCTTTATGTTTTGGCCTCTATCCTCTCTTGTGAGCAGCAGTGCAGGAAAAAGTAAACTGTACTGGCTTACATTTTCTTTCTTTTTAGTCTAGTGTAGCAAAACTTGAGGGGAAAAGATGAGTAAACCAAGACTTGTTCTCAAATCATTTATAGACGAATCAGGCCACATTTTTGTATGTGGTTTAGATAACTGTTTGAAAAACATGATTGACTTCCATTTGAATGTCACAGTTTTCTTTCCTCATTAAAGTTTTATATTACAAGTCTATTGTGTAATCTGATCTGATACCCTTTTTTAAAAAATTTGTGTTAAAGGGCTTTGAGGTCAGTTCAATGTTGATGAGCCAGCAACTCAGGATGTGGTGCCTTGTTTTAAGGTAATAAGTTCAGATGAGGGAGGGCATTTGTGCTTATTTTTGTAAGTTCTGCTTTCATATACAGGGCTTCTTGTTATTTGAGAACTTCTAAACACAGTAGGCATGAAGGCAAAGGTGGATTATTGCTAGGCTCTGAAGGTGCACTGTTAAGTACATAGTGAAGTGTGTGTGCCTGTAACTAGGAGGAGGACAAGTAGCTCTCACCAGATCGTTGTGTTGGTCACTTGCTTAAATGCTCATAATGGAAAAGCAAACCTTTTAAGCTTGTTTAGAAAGGGTTGAATGAATAAAATAAATCTATGGGTGGCCTAGGAGAACTAAGTTTTGTTTTTTTTTCATCCCCTATGTAAGCCTTGTACCAGACCTTTTTTTTTTAACACATTGTTTTCAGAATTGTAGGATGGGAGCTGGTCTATGAAATAAATTTAAGCTGTAGAGGTAATTTAAGGTGGTAGAGGGGCTAGGATTGCCCTGAATAACATAGTGAGAAAGTGCTTCCCTTCTCAGGGGTCTCTCAAGACTTGATTAAGCCAAGAAGAAAGTCTCCTTTGAGTGCTAGTATGTCCTTAACACTCAACCACACTTGTTAGTCTCCTTTTTACACAGAAGATAGGCCTTGGAACCTTCCTTAAGCTACAGCAGCTAGTTAAAATTTAATATTACCTATTTTCATGTAACTATTTTCAATGTTGCAGTCTGTTTATGACTGGCTATACTAGTGAGATAAGTTTTCCTTTTTAAAAAAAACACTTTTTTTGTAAAACAAAACACAAATATAGAAAAATTTAGCTTACTGAGTTATCCTAAGGTGAACACACTTATAACAATCACCCAGGTCAGGAATCAGAATTTTCCTGCCTATCGCAGCAGTCCTATCCATGTGCCATATCCCAATCACCCTCTCTCTGTTCCTACAGTAGCCATTATTATGCTTTTTAACTTTTTTAAATTATTATTTTAAAGATGTGGGATACAATTTAGGGTTAGGTGCATAAGTGGTCATCGTGCAGGTGAAGTTTGGGCCTCCCGTTATTTCACCTGGTTTGGGATCAGCTACCCTTATTAATGTTATGTGCCCCCCCCTTCCTGCATTTCTTTATATTCTTTATAGTATTATCACCCAGGTGCACATCCCAAGTTTAATCTTGCCCATTTAAAGGAAATTTGTGTCTTTTAAGACAGTTCTAATAGGTTTCCCTCCCATTGTCCCACACTCCCCTACCCCCATTTTTCCCTCAACAATTTATCTTTTGAGTAATCCGGGGCAGGAGACTTTCCCACAGTCTGAATTTTGCTGATTGCCATTTCATGATACAGTTGACCTGCTATCTCTCCTCTGTATTTCCTGCAAATTGGTAGCTGGGTTCCCCAGGCCTGATCAGACTCACGTTTGCACTCTACGGCAAGACACCAGATAGTGCTGCGTTCTTTCACCACAAGTCACCTAAGTTCAACTTCTTCCTCTTTTTGTGATGTTAGCTGCTGTTAATGCTCAGTGCCTGAATCCATTAATTCACTGGGGTCTGTAAAATGGTGATACTCTAATAATTCTTTCTCATTTGTTAATGGAAATGCTTTCATGAAGAGATAGTTTCCTTCTTAACCATGGATACGGGGGATAGAGGAAAGACAGGATAAATGCATGTTCCTTTCTCACTTTCAAGTTAATGAATTGGTTCGCTACAACTCTTCAAAGATAACCAGTTAGGCGTTTTTTGTGGTTTTTTATAATTCCAGATTTATATGCAGTTGTAAGAGATAATACAGAAAGGCTAGGCATGGTGGCTCATGTCTATAATCCCAGCACTTTGGGAGGAGGAGGCAAGAGGATTGCTGGAGCCCAGGGGTTCAAGACCAGGCTGGGCAATTTGGTGAGACCTTGTCTCTGCAATAAATTTTTTAAAAAAGATTAGCCTGTGGTTGTGCATGCCTGTGGCTCCAGGTACTTGGAAGACTGAAGTGGAAGGATTCCTGAACCTGGTAGATTGAGGCTGCGGTGACCATGAGAATGCTACTGCACTCCAACCTGGGCTACAGAGTGAGACTCTGACTCAAAAGAAAAAAAAAAATAGAAGAACTAGTACAGAAAGATCCTGTGCACCCTTCACCTAGTTTTCTCCAATGGTACCATCTTATATAACTACAGCACAGTACACTTTCACAATCAGAAAATCGACAATTGATACACCTACTTTTCTTTGTTTGATTTTGCCAGTTTTATAGGTATTTATTTGTATGTGTATGCGTATATTTAGTTCTGTGCAGTTTTATCACAAACGTAGATTTGCGTAATCACCATATAAAAAAATTTCCTGAACACATAGATATAAACATTTTATAGGTTTTATTCACTTGGGCTCATGATCCTTTTTGAAGGTTAAATTTTCCTGTGATTGGGCAAGTTCAGGTGAGTCCTTTTAGTCCTTTCATTTTTTTTAACAGTTTTATTGAGACATAATTTACATACCATAAAAGTCACCATTCTAAGTGTACAATTTGATGTTTTGGTATATTTATATCACCCACAATCTAATTTTAGAACAATTCCATCCGCCCAAAAAGAAACTATGTGTCCATTTGCAGTCCTTCCACCTTCTCACCCTCAGCCTTCGGCAATTGTCCTGAGTCCTTTTAAAGTGACCCTAGTAGTCCTTCACAGCTTCTTTGCTTTCTCTAGTGACAAGGTCTACCCCTATTCCTACCCCCAGCATGGAACTAGCTGTTTGTCTAAGAAGCCCTAATATCTTTTTTTTTTTTTTTTTTGAGTTGGAGTCTCACTCTGTCGCCCAGACTGGAGTGCAGTGGCCGCTACCAGCCACCGCAGACTCGACCTGCTGGGCTCTGGTGATCCTTCCACCTCAGCCTTCCAAGTAGCCAGAATTACAGGCATGCACTACCACGCCCGGCTGATTTTTTGATTTATTGTAGAGATGAGGTCTCGCTGCCCAGGTGGGTCTCGAACCTGCGAACTCAGGCAATCCACTCACCTCAGCCTCCCAAAGGCGCGGGATTACGGGCTGAGCCACTGAACCCGGCTCCTAATATCTTTTAATAAAAAATAATATTTCAAGAACTACTATCTGGATTCTAGGTGTGCTCATTGCTATTAGATTGGTCTTTGTTACTAGGCTTCCTCAGTAGACAGAGCTGAGCTAAAATTCCCCATGAGTTCACAGAGATACTTCTATTTCATGATTTTTAACTTAGCTTCTTCTGTGTTATATCTGTCTCCCTTCTTCTACACTAGGAATCTTGGTTTTCCAGGATGCAGGATGATAGAATTAGAATAGCCCATAATTACTCATTTATTTTATCCCAGATTATATACATAACAGTCCAGTTTCAAAATAACAATACTAATGCTACCATCCCAAGTGTAATTACTGAGGATAGGTTAAATAAAATCCCAAACATTTACATATACTTTTCCCGTTTCTCCCCTAGTTTTAAAATAATTGTACTATTTCTGAATTACTGAAGCATATGTCCATTATACAGAGTACTCTCTCCGTTTTAACTCTATGTTAAACTTGTTCTACAAGTGACTACATGTTTAATGTTTTCTGTGTTTAGTGTTTCATTAGTCATTAGAATTGATGAAGCTCATTTTCTACTAAATTCTTCAGGAGATGGCCATGGGAACAATATTCCCTGAGTTTTTGCATGCTGATGACAGTTTCTCAGTGCTCTTGATGCTGTAAATT